CACCGCCGCCGGCCCCAGCCCCAGCTGCCCGCACGAGCCCGCGCCCCAGGCGCGCGACATGTCGTCGCCCGCCCGCGGAGCTCGGCCTGCCCCTGCCCGCGGTGCGGACGGCAGAAATGGGCTGGCTCTAGCCTGGCACCAGGGATGCCTCCACAAGGACGGGGATCCTTTCTCCTTTGCTCTGAGCTGGGTTGATTGAGGCTGGAGGAGGGACTGAAGGCTGGGGGGAGGCTCCATTGCAGCCTTCAATTCCCTGCACGCCAGAAGAGCAGATGGCAGAAGTTGGTATGTGATGACCGCCAGAGGAGAGACGAGAGAACTACCTGAAGGGCGCTGCAAAGAGGATGGAGCCGGGCTGTCCCCAGTGGTGGCAGATGACAGAACAAGGAGCACGCTCTGAAGTTTGCAGCAAGGAAAGTGTAGTTTAGAGATGAGGAAAAACTTCAGTATTGCCAACTCTCATGATTTTTGGCATTGCTCTTAAAGTCTGCGCTTTGGGAATGTGGAAAACTTAGATCGATAGATAGCCAGCTCTTTCTTCTATCTATCCATCTAGATAAATGAAAGAGCTAAGTTTTGCACATTCCTGAAGCACAGACTTTAAGAACAATGCCAAAAATCATGAGAGTTGGCAACACTGAAACTTTCTCCCTGGAAGGGTGGTAAAAACTGGAACAGGTTACCCAGAGAGTGCCGGAAAAGGTTGAGCAACACTGCCATGATGCGCTCTCATCTGCAGCCCAGTATGAAATGAATGTAAATCTCCCTCAGCTGTGCCTGTCTATACTGCCTGTTGCATACTTCCATCTCAGATGAGTCTTTCCACAGGCTGGGCGTACCTGCAAGTAAGGAATGTCTACTCTACCAGTGGGTAAAGCAGATTAAAAAAGGAGTTGGAGTGTGACATAACATACAACCAGCAGAATTGGCAGATTGACACAATGCATATTTTTGTGTGATGGCATAGGGCAGGGGGAAGAGCATGGATAGAAGGGAAATGGAGGGGTCTAAAAATAGTCTACATGAAGATTCAGATGCAGACAAATGTGTGCGGGTGCGCGTGTGTGTGTGCGTGTGTATGCACCTTGCGCATACTAAATATGGAGCTATATAGTGGAAAGCATCAATAGGCACTGACAGAGCCAGTCTGTTTCCTGTGGAGTCTGGCTGTGAGGTAGGATTCAGAAGTGTCTGCCATTTCCCCTGATGAGAGGGAGAGCTGGAAACAGCAGGGTCTTTCCTTCTTTGGCCTGTGGAGGGGAGAGAGCAGTGGAAAGGGGAATACATCTTTCTAAAAAGGAAGAGGCAGACAGGGCCTCCCCATATGAACAGGGCCTGGTGCTGCTCCACCAGACATATAAATAATCCAGGACAAACTGACTAACCAAAGCCCTAAGTCTGCAAGCACACTATTAACTCCAGCTTCAGTGAGACAACTTGCATGTACTTTTATAGCATTAGCGGGATCAAGGTCTTACTAACTATACAGGGCAAACTGTGACACTGACTATAGCTTCACAGGCTACTGAATGCATAAATTGAGAAAAATGCAGTAAATACATCTTTCTCAAAATCTCTTTCAGTTACCAGCATTTTTATGTATTTTGCAACAGCATTAGAAAAATAGTCTTAATATCTTAACCGCAGTATGATATTAAAGTTGGTGGTCTCTTAAAAGAAAGGAGAACAGAAGGTTCACAAAATAGGAAAGAAAGCAAAGGTACCAGGATGGGAAGGGAGAGCAAAATCCTGGTTTCCTTGCACTAGAGCAGTGATTCCCTTAAGGCTTGAGGCACCCCTTGATAGACTATAGACATCCCTTGATAAATTCAGGGCACTGCTGGGAAAATACTAACTCTTAGTTTTCACTCCTTTTGGAGTGAAAACTCCAAAACTTTTCCTTTTAAAGAAAAATTATAGAGCAAGAAAAATTACAAGTCAGAACATTTTTAACACTATGATGATTCTGACTTGAAATCTCTGGGCTTGTTTTATGAATCGTGTGTGTGCACCTAACAGTGCTAAAAGTGTGGCATCCCACAACATCCTTGAAAGGATCTCAAGGCACCTCTGGGTGCCCCAGCACCCTGACTGAAAATCACTGCTATAGTGGTTCTAGCACAACAGATCCAGGTTTGTCCAATAGGCAAAATTACAGAAATATCTTGCCATCAACATGGTAAAAGGACTGGTCCTAGTATTTCTGAGAGTGGGAGAAGATGGACCAAGTGCCAGTCCATCAGCAGACTTTACCTTATCTTCTTAGGGCTTTATTTTGCTACTCATCACTGCGGACCTGAACACCATCCAGATAAAAATCAACAGTAGTCACAAATTCCCTCCTGGTACTTTCTCCACTTCTCCCTTTTGGGGGTTAAAATTCTTCTAGGGATAGATGCTAGGGTTTGGGAGAGATCCAGTAGATTTTGGTGGAGGACTGCAAATAGAAGGAATGTATGTTATGGTGGGACAGCTTTCACAAAGAGGAAGGTTTTGCAATGTTTCCTGAAGACAGTCATACTGGATTGATTTGATCACTGCAAGACTGTTCCATAGCGGGATCCCTTGAGCAAAAGTGTTGTCCTCAGCTCTCACATCCTCTACCTTAGCTTTTGTGATATGTCCCAGAGGAGTGGAGCTTCACCGGAGTTCAGAGACCAAAATAAAGTCTTTGATTTAGGTGGAACTTGATCCATTACCTCCTTTAAGAACTAGGGTCAGAGTTCCACAAACTCAGAAGCTGACCAGGCAGCCTAGGTCATGGAGAAAGTGGCCAGCAGAATTATTTACCCATAGAAGCCTGAGCATCCTGTTCCCCTACCCCTTCTGATCCAAGAAATTACAGTAACCCAGCCTGAAGGCGCCAAATGCATAACTTACTGGGCATGTCCTTGTCTGAGAAGAAGGAATTAAGTTTCCAAGCAAGCTGGAGGCAAAGGAGAACATTTCTGGAAGCTGATGTTCTCTGATTACACAAGGCAACAAGGAATCAAACAGGAATCTGAGGCTTTGCCCATTCCATCAACTGGGCGTTGGGCATATTCACCAAAATGTGAACTATTTCAATAGTACTCTTGTGTAAAAAATTAGTTTTCTTCTCCTTCAATCCCTAGACTTTACATAATCAATCTAAAAACAGATGCTGTCCCCTCTTCTTAATGTTATAAAAATACACTTCAATGGATCTTTCATGAATAATTACATTTAACAACATTTTGGGCCACAGATCACGTGATTAGGGTACTGGCTTTCCATTTTTACACTATTCCATGAAGAGTCTTTACTTGTTAGGGAATAAATATCCATATTATCTGCCCCATAAGCATTGTTTCCCAAATGAGTGGTACACCATCTAGGGTAGAAATAACAGGCTAGCCAGCAGAGAAAGTTGTAGGGACAGACATAACAATTATTCTGCAGAACCTCAGCTTTCATTTGTTTTAAAAAGTAAGGGCTAAAACTTTCATTTTACATGTCTAAGTGACATGCTGGCAGTCATGTAAAAACAGTTACTGGGGCACTTACCTTTAGTTATAGATTTTATTTCCCACTGTGGTGAAATAGAATTGCCCTGTGCACATACATGCTGGAAGTAAAATGGAGGAGGGGCAGGCCTCCCACAATTCAGGCCACTTGTCCAGAGATCAGGAAACCGAGGGTCTACCCCTCCCCCTCAATGCAACCATAGGTAGTCTCTAACCACCACACCATGGGTCACACATTGACCGAGCTTTCTTTAACCCTCCTGTTGAAACTCCTCACCTTCTGTACCTTGCATTCAGTATTATTGGACAATCAGCATAGAAAAAAATATCCTGTCTGATTGAGAACCAGGGCCTATGCTTGGACCAAAGCCCCTTCTCTTTTAGGGCAGCTACCATCTCACAGAGGCACACACCCTTTGGCCTGCATTCTTCCTCCTAACCCTACATATCTCCCTGTTTTGTCTGGACAGTGGGTCAGCTTCAAGGGGAGAGCTGAAGAAGGGTGTGGGCAATGCCTGGCTTGCAGGCTGGAGACTAGAGTATTTCATTGGGAAGCATGAAATGAAAACCCCCTTTAGGTGAGGCAGACCAAAAATTTACA